TAATAATATACACATATATATATATATATATATATATATATATATATATATCATTCTTGCCTCTCTTTTAAATCTTCGACAGATCTAGCAGGAAACTTGGCACGATCCCACCTATCCTTAATAATAATAAACCTAAGATCAAATCTTCTGCATAAATCAAACAGGTGATCGGTCTCTGCTCGTGTCCAACCGTTGCTCACTAAATGCTGAACGTATTCAGCATTCGTATAAGTAGGGATAGGAATTTTTTTATTAAACTTCGCGAAGGGATATTCCTTCCCGGCATCGGCGACGCGACGCCAATGATGAAAGACCGCACCGTCAGTGCGTGCTGGATTGGTGAACGGTGTCCACTTCCATGGCCTGACTTTCTTCATACCGAGCTTAGCTCGCACCTGCTTATAGCCCTTCGCGGTGTCAGTCGGAAACAACGGTGGCACATCATTGTTGTCCTTGCAGAGGAGGGCGAATACTTCGCGATGCATGCCCTCAGGACGTTTCGGCACTTTGTTGTAGTCATATCGTTTGCGATTCTTTTTATCATTGCCCAATATCGACTCTTTCGTAAGTTCCGTAGTTGTCGGTACATCAATATCCAAAATATCACGTACATCTGCCATCACTGCGTTTAATAAATTTGTTTTCGGACAGATGTTTCGCACGTTTGGAGGTTAGGTTCCGCTATAAGATTAATGATACATTAAAACCAAGTCCGTCTTGATTTATCAACGTGTGGAACATTTTAGCAAGCACATTACTTCTCGACTGTTCAAGAAACAAAAATCCGAGAAGAGAACATAGAAGTATTGTTCAAATTTATAAAAAGCGCAAATCCGATCATAAAAGGAGCTCCGCATACAAATACATGTGCATCGATCTGTATTGCCCGTGATGGACAGATTGACTTTGGGATTGCGTTCAGAAAACACAAGTTTAAGGCTGACTTTTCATGTTGACGCTTGACGCTCATTTTTAGCGTCAAACTAGATCACGTGATCAAAAATGACCATTCAGATTTTACTATTCCGTTTAAGGAGCGACGGGCTAACTCCGACTTGATCTAAAATGATTATCTACTTCTTATTTACAATGCAGATATGTATCTGTAATCAATTATATTTTGTCTTATAGAAACGATGTTTCATCATGAAACTTTACTAAGATAATTTCTTTTACAATTACGAAGGTACTTACAGAGCCAATTTTTGCAATTTAGCTCTTAAATAATTAAAATAAATGTAACTATCTATTCCTTATTTACAGTGCAGATATATATTTGAGTACATATATCATCTCGTAGAAGCAATATTCTGCCATGAGCCATTTTCTACGTATTTTTTATAAAATTATGACTCTTGCTACAGAGCGGGATTTTGCAATTTGATTCTTAAAAAAAAATTTACAATAGATGAAAATATTTGCACTTTATTGTCCTATAGTGCAAATCTGTTTACGCATAAAATGAATTATTTATTTTCACACATTTTCTTACAAAAATCGTTCTGTAGCTTTTGTCAAGCAAATATTCTGATTATAAATATTATAATTATATAGCTTTTCTCGCAGTATTTTGGTCGTAATATGGATGAAAAGGAAATCATCTCCGATAGAGGTTTCCATAGTCTCTCCTGCCGACCCTTAATTTTGACGTGATCTAATTTGACGCTAAAAATGAGCGTCGAGCGTCAGCATGAAAAATCAGCTTAATAATCGAGTTTTGGAGAACGTATATGATTGGTAGGTTCGAATACCAATCACTATGCAGACTGTACACTTTTGTTAAGCTTTGTCCACGATACTAGAAATCGATCCGAAAAATCTTGAACGGAGGAAAATTGACAAATCGCGGTGGTCAACTGACGAATTTTTTCTTCATCTGAGATCTCAGATCAATTTCTAATATCGTAGACGCAAGTTTTTAGAAGAAACTGATCAATCATGTCAATATACATATATATTGTTGATTATTATTGATATGTAACATTCGATCATGTATATCTTTTGTCATTTTTGGAAAATAAAAAATTCTGTCGTAAATTATCAAAATGATTTATTTACATTTTGAATTTTTAAAAATTAGTTAAGTATCGAAAAAATATATTAATACAAGAGATGGACCGAAATAAAATAAAAAGCATTGCAATTTCAAAAGTTTGATTTATTATAAATTCATTTTTTTAAAAAGAAAAACTATTTACACTAGTAAGAGTTAATTATATCACCAAAAAGTACACTAAACATTCATGATACATGAATATTTAGAGTTAGATAATATTTTAGATAATATCTAATATATACACACACTGATTATAAAAAAATGATTATAACTGAAGTGTATATGCATAATAAAATCTCTTATTTCCTTAGACATATCTCACACTTATGTATATAAGAGATAACAATAAAAATAACAATAAAAATACATAAAATAGATAGTATAAATTTTTATTGAGGCTGCATAATATCAATACTTTGAGGAGCTGTAACATCAAGTAAATTTATAGTATTAGGCGTCCGATAACTTGTGGAATGTGGGACGGATAATCCACGATTATCTGTCGACTTTATGTTTAGATTTAGAAATTTACAACTTACAATACACCAGAAGCTTTGTACAACGTTTTTAATCAATCCTGTAAATTTATTCAGATAATTCAGTAACTGTGTTTTTCATATTACATTTATTATAGAACTTGTTTGCAAACTTACCACTTGTGACAAAAATACCACCCACAGTAGCACATAATTTTACTAAAAACTGAAAAATAGTATCACGTTCCTGCGTTACTTTAATTTTAAGTGCACTCATATCATATTTGAAGAAAATTCCTGGTATTCCATGAGATCCCTTATGGTGATCAATTGGTCTTTGATGATCTTTAACACTGTATTGATAGGTCTTAGATGTGCTTAACAAAGTCCTGATATCTGTAGGAACTACCTCAACGAAGTATTGATAAAGCATCATATCTAAAAGAAAAGTCATTCGTCAAATCAAGGAACTCATTATCGATCTGTTACAGTAAAAGGAACTTACTATTATCTGTAATCTTCTCATCACCTTCAAGGGGATGTACAATACCTGGACTAGGGCCACCAAAAGAAAATCTATTGATTCTGTGAGTGAAGTTATAATCTCGATCAGTCATAAATGCAGAAATATGTATATGACCATGTGGCACAGCCAATGATTTCCCCGCAGTTATGTGAAAGTTACCTGCTACTTTATTAACATTTAAACTACCATGAACACGACAGGCATTCGGTGGATAATCTGGTTTGTACAATCTAAATAATATTATTAAATATTATTTTATTTAATAATAATATTGAATATTCTATATCAGCACAAACTTGAATATACCCATAATTTTCAACAATTATAAGTGATAATCTACACATACCGTTTTGGCATCTCACTGTGAAGAGTAATTTGATTAGATTTCCAAAGCAATTCATGAATAGCATGATACTCTTCCCTTAAATACGAATTCATATGTTTCAGAGCATCAAAATGTGCCCTTTGCTCTGGTGTTAATTCCCACCATGTATCTTCCTCCTCTAAGGAATCAAAACCCATCATATTCTGATTTGTCGAATCTAAAACATCAGCACCAATACTACCACATGGCATTGCCACTGTTACATCGATGTTAATTTGTAGTTTTGCATCTATTTCAGTATCTGGCTCAAATTTGAATTGTAATCTACTATCAAGATAGTAACTTGTTTCAGCTATTACCAAATATGCAATAATAAGAATTGTAAAAATAGAAACTGAAATAAAAACAGATTATTAGTTGGAAAAAAATATAGTTGGAAATATTATAAAATACAATATATAAATTAAATACTCAACATAAATATTTTATTCAATATCTGTTAACTTACATGTTCCCCCAACCGCAGTTTTATCGACATATAATTCAGGAACTTTTGGGAACGCGTCCAGTTCCTTAACTGTTTTAACATTAACGTGTCTTCGTCTTAACATTTTTATTCGTTATACAAATTAATATTCACAAACTATGTATCAATATGCATCTACGCGACTAACCTGTAAGAAATATTTATCGTGTTAAAGAAAATTTAGAATTAAACATGTGTTTGTTTTTTTACCTTTAGCGTTACGTTTATCACCATATTTACTACGCATCCAAATTTCAATTAAATAAAACAGCATAATATTTTACATTTGATATTTCTGTGTTATTTACATTTTGACGTGTCGCATCTGCACAAAAAAAATATGAAATACACGTATTCTAACCTCAATATTAAAGTCAACGTAAAAATATTACAGCGGCGATCATTTTGCAGAGAAAGATGGCGCCACGTTTGCATCACGGCTTGATATAATTCTTATTTGACTAATTATACCTATTTAAGAATATTATAAAGTATGTTTCATATTCTTTTCTTTAGAAAATACCTTCGTTAACTTATGTATCGAAACTTTGAATTCGATTTCGATATTTGAATCATTTTTTTTTTCAAAATGATTAGACGCATCTCCACAATTTATAATTTTATGAAGTGTTGTTATGTATTAGAAAACTCGTATCAAATTCTTCCAATATACGAATTTATGTTTATATTAAATTTGAAATATGAAAATCAAACAAAAGATGAAAAACAGAACTAAGTCATTCGCATAAGAAGTTAAAAATTAAATCATCTCAAAAACGACTATTTACAATTTAATACTTCTATTCTTCTAGAATGATATACATGTTTATTTCATTTCCATATACAAATATAAGTCTTTTAATATTTGAACTACTGTTTCAATTGGAACTGTGAGAATGCCAAACGTATGAAAGAATTTGTGGCCCTGATAAGGGCCGTTGGTCTTGGGAGGAGTGATTCACTTGGAGCTGGTGTACTTGGTGACAGCCTTGGTGCCTTCACTCACAGCGTGCTTCGCCAATTCTCCTGGCAGCAAAAGCCTGACAGCGGTTTGGATCTCCCGGGAGGTGATGGTGGATCGTTTATTGTAATGAGCCAAACGCGATGCCTCAGCAGCGATACGCTCAAAGACATCATTGACAAAGCTATTCATTATGCTCATAGCTTTGCTGGAGATTCCGGTGTCAGGATGTACTTGCTTCAATACTTTATAGATATAGATAGCGTAGCTCTCCTTCCTCTTCCTCTTCTTTTTCTTGTCGGTCTTGCTGATGTTCTTCTGAGCCTTTCCGGCTTTCTTCACAGCTTTGCCGCTCGCTTTCGGTGGCATGATTCTTCACAGTATCGTAAAGTGCCGTATAAACAATCGCCAAAACGGAACTTCGAGAAGTGACTCGCATCGCCGCACGCAATCTATTTATATTATAGAACGTCGGTAGTGGCGCACCAATCGCGTTACGCAGCACAGCCAATCGTTATGTGCTCGACGCGCCATTGGTCAAGCCTCACTGCGGGAACATAGTATAAAAGGCCGGCGAGAAGCCCCGAGCGGCACAACCAGTTGAGGTGTTCTCTCTTTTGGTTCTTCGTAGAGGTTCATCGTTCGTTAACCGCAAACATGTCTGGCCGTGGTAAAGGTGGAAAGGCTAAGGGAAAGGCGAAATCTCGTTCCAATCGCGCTGGACTGCAATTCCCCGTTGGACGTATCCACAGACTTCTGCGTAAAGGAAATTACGCCGAGCGCGTTGGTGCTGGTGCCCCAGTCTATCTGGCTGCGGTAATGGAATACCTCGCTGCAGAAGTATTGGAATTGGCGGGAAACGCTGCACGAGATAACAAAAAGACCAGAATCATTCCCAGGCATTTACAGCTAGCCATTCGGAATGACGAAGAGTTGAATAAATTGCTTTCTGGCGTTACCATCGCTCAAGGTGGTGTGCTGCCGAACATCCAAGCAGTATTGTTGCCAAAAAAAACTGAGAAGAAAGCTTAACTACACAGCAACAACAAACGGCCCTTTTTAGGGCCACCAATATATTCATATACGAAGAACATTCTCATTCATCCTATCCTATTTTTAAATTCATTATTATTGCTACTTTGAATTGTTTCTTTTCGGAAAATGTGAAATAATTTTGTTATATTTTCTAATTAACAATTCTTTTTAACAATTCTGTTAATTATAATGCGAAGTTATACATAAAATATCTTAAAATGTTTACACACTTTTAAAATCGAATAAACAAATTCAAAAATTTTCAAATATTTTTTAAAAACTCAAAATTTATCAAATACAAGTAACCTAATTTATCTATATAAAAATTATTTGCGCTTTACTATTCTTGTTATATAATTTATTAACTTAACATTTTATTTTAATTAAGATGTAAATAAAAATAAGTATTATTCATTTTTTAATTTAGGAACTGTTCAAAGCAGTTTATATTATTACTTCATACCAGTACACACACACACACACACACACACATATATTAAAATCTACAAATCTACCGAAAATCCATTAGATTGAAACTTACAATGTACGTATGAATTCAATTGATTTTTCAAAGTTATTGAAAATGAAGCCTACAAGTAAAAAATTTATTTTATTTATTTTTTAACTTATTTTTCATAAGAGTATTTTCTCTATCAGAATTATAAAACAATTAATACTCACAATCAAAATTTAGGATAGAAATTGATAATTTTTATTAATATTTTATTCTACATGACATGACCTTTATACAATTTCAAATTTAACATAATTCTTTATTTCATATTGATACATTTGGTAAATATGCGAGTCGTCACGAAAAATCGAAATAAAATATTAAGTATTAGTATTACACCGGCTGAGATCGCTTAGAATAATGGACAAAGTTCACGGCGTAAGGCGGTTGACCATCTTCGCTGACCCAAACAGCTCCATTTTTACCCTTTTGGATGAGATCTAACATTGCAAGTGCTACATGGTCGCTAGATTGTCTTGGAAATTTTTTGACTTCGTCTTCAATACTATCTAGTGTAGCACGAACAAGAGCGCTGATTGTGTTCGGGATATTTTCAACCAATGCAGTCTCCGTAAGACCCGGACACATAATCAAAATTCGTACGTTAGTCTTGTCATATAAATCTGCTAGAGCCTGACTAAATCCAAGAACGGCGTGTTTCGAAGCGACATATACTGGATGTATGACATATGGGAGTAACCCAGCTATGGATGAAATATTCACGATTACACCACCTTTGCCGCCTTTATGCTTCCCCATGTAATCCATCGCCAAAAAAGAGCTGCGTATTAGCGCCTTTACATTGACATCGATCGTCCGCTCCCAGTATACGTCATTTAATATACCAGCATTATTAATAAGAATGTCAAGTCCCTCGAATGCATCGATGACCTTCTTGAATGTCTTCTCCAAATCTTCTGCCTTCGTCACGTCGCAGGCATAAAAGACAGCACGACCACTTCCAAATTCTTTCTCCAACGTTGCTGCTGCACTCTGTCCATTTGATGTTGGCAAGTCGATCATGGCAACACATTTTGCACCATTACGAAGTAATATTTCGGCATACTTATAACCTAATCCAGCAGCTGCACCAGTGACCATTACTGTTTTATTCTGTACGTTATACATTTTGTTCAGCTCTTGAAGCTTCAACGAGATGCACGAAAGGCACTCTATGTTAAAATGTACTGTCTAATATTGTGTATAAAGTAATGCAATATATTCAACATATCATCACATCTTATCTTATCGAGTGTAAGAGAAACGATAAGGCGAACGAATAATAAACGTAGCAAGTGTTACATGATCGGGGGATTTATTATATTTATTGAGTTCAACGTCAACGTTACGTTCATCTAGTAGAGTGCGGACAAGATCGCAGATTTTGCTCGATACATTTTCAGCCATTTCGGTCTCTGTATAATTCGGACACATGACCATAACTCATATACCAGTTTTGTCGAACAAACACAATCTGCTAAAGATTGATTAAATCCAACAATGGCGATATTTCGAAGCGATATATACTGGCACGAAAACAGCTGGTTCCAATCCAGCTATGGATGAAACGTTCACGATTACACTGCCTTCGCCGCCTTTATGCTTTCCCATAAAATTCATCGCCAAAAAAGAACCGTGTGTATCATCGCTTTGATATTGACATCGATCGTCCGCTCCCAATCGTTGCCTATTACACCAGCGTTGTTTATAAAAATATCAAGTCCTTCGAAAGTATCGATGATCTTCTTGAATATCTTCAGCAAATCTTCTGATTTTCGTTATATCGCAAGCGATTGAAAAGAGCACGATCCTTTCCAAATTCTTTCTCCAATGAAGCTGCAGCAGTCTGACCATTCGATGTTGGCAAATCGATGAGAGCGACACGTTTTGCACCATTACGAAGCAAAGTTTCGGCATGCTTGTAGCCCATTCCGCGAGCTGCTTCAGTGATCATTACAGTCTTATTTCGTATATTATACATTCTTGTGATCTCTTGAAGCTTCAACGGGATGTGATCTTCGATTAATAATAATGTGAACTTTCCAATGCAATGGAGAGAATACGTGGCTAATACAAAATATGTTGGATTTGATAAAACTTTATCGATGCTTATCTTATCTACCTAAAGTTAAAGAAATGATAAGTGTATGTCAATCTAGAATTTACTATTGCACATTATTGCACAAGTTTGTATCAAAAATTTTCACGTTTCATTTTAAGAGCTTCTTTGAGAGCATTAATATTTTGTGAACATTAATATGAATATGATTATATACTTCACCTTTATGCTTCGCTATATAGTCCATCGTCAAAAAAAAATTACATATCAGAGTCTTAATTTTGACATCGATTGTCCATTCTCAGTACTTGTCGCCTAGTAGAACAGTTTTGTTAATCAAGAATATCAAGTTTCTTGAATATATAACGAATATATAACGATTTTCATGAACGTCACATTCAAATGTTTTGGTTTCGACACAGTAAGTGATGAAGAGAACATTTTTTCAAATTTTTTTTCTGACGTATAGCTGCTGCATTTTGCCTATTCGATAAATCGATTGATAAATCGATCATATCAATATGTTTTGCATTATTACGAAGCAATGTTTCGATATGTTTAAAACTTATTCCAGCTACTCCAGTAATTATTATAATTTTATTATGTACGTTATATTATACATTCTGGGGATTTTTTGAAATTTCAACATTATGTGATCTTCAACGAATAGTAATAATGTACTATTCAATGCTGCAGAGTGGACGTAAAGTAAACATAACTAATACAAAATATGTTCTATTTGATAGAGTTGTATTTTACATACCAAAATTAAGAAAACACTGAACGTATTTATTAAATTAAAAACCATACTATTGATGTAAAGTAAGATTTTGCATGTATTAAAAAATTTAATATTATTTGTTCGCATTTAATGTGCGTTTTTTTTTTTATTCTAATCTAAGTTATTATTCGAATTATTTAATAGGAAATTTGAGAAATTGAGAAGGTATCTTGCTTATAATAAAGAATAGACATAGGCATATCATCAAATAAAAAAAATAAATATTTATTATGGATTTATTATTCTAGTGCATAAACATTTTAAAATTCAAGAAATTTTGTAAAATATCACTTAAAGTAAACTATCGCATAATCACACATCATAAGATAAAACCAATAAATAAACTTTGAAATATCTTTGCCTTAAAATTGTGTAACTATAAATATACTATAATTTACAGAAACGCAAATTACAATAACACTGCTTAAGCTGCTTGCTTAAGCAATGCCATTACATCGTTACATTTGTTTATTTTAATTACCATTTTTTATTTGCAATGAGTATTAAATGTATAAAACTGTTTTTTGTAGATATTAAATGTACGACGATACAAACATGTACTTATTATAAGTCGCAAATATTTCTAAAGATGATATAATTTCTAATATAAAAAATGACATGTATTTACAATTAATACGGCTTTTATGTCATTTATATATCAAATAATTTCAATTTACACAATTGATACAATGCTTTGTAAACATTATATTATTTTATTTAAATTCCGAAGAAGGATGATCAATATAATTTTTATACAGGCACAGCTCGTTTGGAATAATGAACGAAATCTACGGCGTAAGGTGGTTGATCACCTTCGCTGACCCAAGCAGCCCCGTTTTTACCTTTTTGGATAAGATCTAACATTGCAAGTGCAACATGCTCGGCGGATTGTCCTGGATATTCCTCGACTAGATCTTCAACGTTACCTAGTACAGTGCGGACAAGATCGCAGATGTTGTCGTTGGGATTTTTAATCATTTCAGTCTCTGTTCTACCCGGACACAAGATCATAACTCGTACTCCAGTCTTATCGTACAAATCTGCTAAAGCCTGACTAAATCCGAGGACACCATATTTCGTAGCCGTGTATACTGGTAGAAAAGAACATGGGTGCAATGCACCTATAGATGCAACGTTCACGATTACACCGCCTTTACCGTCTTTATGCTTTCCCATGTAATCCATCGCCAAAAAAGAACTATGTATCAGTGACTTGATATTGACATCGATCGTTCGATCCCAATGCTTACCGCCTAGTATACCAGCGTTGTTGATAAGAATATCAAGTCCTTCAAATGCATCGACGACCTTTTTGAATGTCTTCTGCAAGTCTTCTGATTTTGTTATATCGCAAGCGATGAAGACAGCACGATCCTTTCCAAATTCTTTCTCCAATGTAGCTGCTGCAGTCTGACCATTCGATGTTGGCAAGTCGATGATAGCGATACGTTTTGCACCATTACGAAGTAACGTTTCCGCATGTTTGTAGCCCATTCCACGAGCTGCTCCAGTGATCATTACAGTTTTATTATGTATGTTAAACATTCTTGTGACTTCTTGAAGCTTCAACGAGGTATGATCTTGAACGAATAATAATGAAATGTAACTTTTCAATGCAATGTAGAGAATATATAGCTAATACAGAATATATCGGATTTGATAAAGCTTTATGGAGACTTATCTTATCTTATCAAGGTCAAAGAAATAAGTGTATGTTTATCAATCTAGAATTCACTATTGCACATCGTTGCACAACAAATTTGCATCAAAAATTTTCACGTTTCAAATTTTAAGGGCTCTTTTGAGAGAATTAATATCTTGTGAACATGATTAATATAAAAATACATCAAAATATAAAAAAAAATATATCAAATACATTACATATTTCGATCATCTTTTAAAACTTCAATAAGATGTAATCTTCAACGAATAATAATGTGCACTGTCTCTAATGGAATATACGTAGCTGGAACAACTGAGCTGACGTATAATGGAATAACGCTAAATTTATAGTTTGTTTTAATAGAACTTTATCGAGCTTCATCTTACATATTAAGATTGAAAGGAATGATATCGTGAATTCCAGGATTTGATTTTAATATTGCAAAACAAGTTTTTCATTTGTTAAAAAATTTAATGCAAATTTTGTAGGGAGAAACCTGACAATGAACACAATCATTATTTTCGTGTAACCACTAGGCAAGTTTTGTTTTTGTTCCGAGCATTTCATCGTGAATATTACGGAACAAATTCAGAAAATCATAGATACAATACAGAACACATCCCAAAAATCGTGAATATAATACAGAATACAATTCGAAAATCATTTACATAGTACGAAACAAGTAGAATATGTGGATACGGCTATGTTAACTCTGAAATAGTCTCGCGAACTACGTAGTTCAATATCTATTATAGATACGTGACGTATTGCCTAGCGAATCTGCAAAAACAACGACTATATGTCACTATCAGATTTATCTCTGCAAATAACATTAATTTTTTTGATAGACATTAACTTGCTATGTAATGGTATAAGTATTGAATTGATATCCTCATTTTTTTTAATTTTGAAGATAAGCATCGATAAAGCTTGCCTTTATAAAAAAGAAAATATATAAGCATGTCAAAAAAAAAAGAATGTACATTAAAATTTATTGTCAATTTGTTATTGTTTATTGTTAATTTTCTCTAATTTATAAATATTGTAAAAATTAAACATTTTTTTGTAAAATATCACGTAGAATACCGCACAATCGCGCTTAGAAGTATCACAAGGCATAAACAACAAACAAATATTTTCCTGAAATATCTTTGCCCTAAAATTACGTAACTATAAATATAATTCACAGAAACGCAAGGTACAATAATATTGTTAAGCACAAAAAAACGGGAAATGTGAATAAACTATTACATCGTTACATTTTACTTGAGAACAGATAAATTTAAATTTAAGCTAAAATAATTGTTGCACGGTATTTGATACTAAAATATTGTATAAATTCTTTATTAAAAGTTTCTAAACATAACAATACACAAGAGCAATATATAAAGGAAATTATAATGTTCATAATTTAGCTTCACAATTATTAAAATTTAAGGAGCATATAAATATACAAAAATTTTCACAAAATTAAAATATTTTATTGTCAAGACTTATTCCACACTTTTAAATTCTCTTTTAAATTCTCTTTTAGTATATCTTGTTCATTTTATTTACACTTTTCTACTTTCTATTTGCAATGAATATTTAATGTATAAAACTGTTTCTTGTAGATATTAAATGTACGATACAAATATGTAACTAATATAAATCGCGAATATTTCTAAAGATAATATAATTTCTAATCAAAAGAATTATATGTATTTGTGACTAATACAGCTTTTACGTTACTTATTTCGAATAATTTTAATTTACACAACTGATACAACGCTTGGTAACATAACATTACTTTATTTAAACTCTCAAGAAGAATCATCAATATAATTTTTATACAGGCAGCGCTCGTTTGGAATAATGGACAAAATCTACGGCGTAAGGTGGTTGACCACCTTCGCAGACCCAAGCAGCACCGTTTTTACCTTTTTGGATAAGATCTAACATTGCAAGTGCAACATGCTCAACGGATTGTTTTGGATAATCCTTGAATCCGTCGTCAACGTTACCTAGTACAGTGCGGACAAGATCACAGCTTCTGTCGGAGATATTTTTACCCAGTTCAGTCTCTGTATAACCGGGACACATGATTAAAACTCGTACTCCAGTCTTATCGTACAAATCTGCTAAAGCTTGACTAAATCCGAGAACTCCATGTTTCGTAGCCGTGTATACTGGTAAAAAAGAACATGGATGCAATGCAAGTTGAGATGCAACGTTCACGATTACACCGCCTTTGCCGCCTTTATGCTTTCCCATATAATCCATCGCCAAAAAAGAACTATGTATCAGTGCCTTGATATTGACATCAATCGTTCGTTCCCAATTATTGTCTACTACACCAGCGTTGTTGATAAGAATATCAAGTCCTTCGAATGCATCAACGACTTCCTTGAATGTCTTCTCCAAATCTTCTGCCTTCGTCACGTCGCAGGCATAAAAGACAGCACGACCTCTTCCAAATTCTTTCTCCAACGTAGCTGCTGCAGTCGGACCATTCGATGTTGGCAAGTCAATGATAGCGATACGTTTTGCACCATTACGAAGCAATATTTCGGCATATTTGTAGCCTATTCCACGAGCTGCTCCAGTGATCATTACAGTTTTATTATGTATGTTAAACATTCTTGCGATTTCTTGAAGCTTCAACGAGATATGATCTTGAACGAATAATAATGAAATGAAACTTTCCAATGTAGAGAATATATAGCTAATACAGAATATATTGGATTTGATAAAGCTTTATGGAGACTTATCTTATCTATCAAAGTCAAAGAAATAAGTGTATGTTTGTCAATCTAGAATTCACTATTGCACAACAAGTTTGCATCAAAAATTTTCACGTTCTATTTTAAGAGTTTCTTTAAAAGCATTAATATTTTGTGAGCATAATTAATATGATAATTATTAATTTAAGTTTTACATTATTTATTTCAAATTTGACAGTTTAATTTCATGTACACAACTAATAAAACGCTTGATAAATATTACGTTAAATGTTCAAGCAAAGTTAAAATGTTCAAGCAAAGTTATCGATATAATTTGTATACGAGCAGAGTGTTCAGAATGATGGACGAAATCCACATCATAAAGTGATTCGCGTGATTTTCGTCGATTCAAACAATCGTATTTTTACCTTCTTGGATGAGATCTAACATTACAAATGCTACATGACTGACGAATTGTCTTGGATATTTATTAACCACGTCGACAATGTTATTTAATAGAGTGCGGACGTAGGTCGCAGGCTTTGTTCGACATGTTTTCAATCAACCTAATCTGTGTATGTAAGATTCGGATATATGATCATAACTCTCACTTTAACCTTGCCGTACAAATTCGTTTAATGTCCGATTATGGATATATGACGTATTGCCTAGCAATTATACAAAAACAGTAGCTATCTCTACTCACCTTAGCACTCACATTAGCTTTCTATTTGTAAATAACATTAAATTTTTTGATAGATATAAACTTGCTGTGCAATGGTATAGAGTCTGATTAATTTATAGATTAACATCTTTATTATTTTTTTAACTTTGATAAGATAAGCACTGATAAAGCTGTATCAAATAAAACATATTTTGCGTTAGCTACGTGTTCTCTCCATTGCGTTGGAAAGTGCACATTATCATTCGTTGAAAATCACATCCCGTTGAAGCTTCAAGAGGTCACAAGAATGTTTAACGTACGTGATAAAACTGTAATGATTACTGGAGGAGCTCGCGGAATGGGCTACAAACATGCCGAAACATTACTTCGTAATGGTGCAAAACGTATCGCTATCATCGACTTGCCAACATCGAATGGTCGGAATGCAGCAGCTACGTTGGAGAAAGATTTTGGAAAGGACCGTGCTCTCTTCATCGCTTGCGATGTAACGAAATCAGAAGATTTGCAGAAGACATTCAAGAAGGTCGTCGATGCATTCGAGGGACTCGATATTCTTATTAACAACGCTGCTGTATTAGGCGGTAACCATTGGGATCGGACGATCGATGTCAATATAAAGGCACTGATACAGAGTTCTTTCTTGGCGATGGATTACATGGGAAAGCATAAAGGCGGTAAAGGTGGTGTAATCGTGAACGTTGCGTCCTTAGCTGCGTTAACTCCAGCTGTCATACACCCAGTATATACCGCTTCGAAATATGCTGTTCTCGGATTTAGTCAGGCTCTAGCAGATTTGTACGACAAGACTGAAGTACGAGTTATGGTTATATGTCCGGGTCTTACAAAGACTGAAATGATTGAAAATATTTCGGACAGCGCTTGCGATCTTGTCCGCACTGTAATCAACGTTGAGGATGAACTCAATAAATATAATAAATATGGAAAACAATCCGCCGAGCATGTAGCACGTGCAATGTTAGATCTCATCCAAAAAGGTAAAAATGGGACTGTTTGGGTCAGCGAAGGTGGTCAACCGCCTTACGCCGTTGATTTTGTCCATTATTCCAAGCGAGCTTTGCCTGTATAAAAATTATATTGATAAACTTTTTGTATATTTCTTTTCTTGAATCTTGAAAATAACATGATGTATTTATCAAGCATATTAACTGTAATTATGTCTAATTTAAAATAAATGATGTAAAATTCAAATAAATCATACTCATAAAATGATACTTTCAAATAAAGTTCTTAAAACAGAATATCCTTAATCTTCTTATTCTGAAATTTAATGTATATTTTGTCTCATATTATAAAGATGTAGATATAGATATATAATTCACTAATACACACACACACACACACACACACACACACACACATATATATATATATATATATATATATATATATATATATATATATATATATATATATATATGTGTGTGTGTATCATTGTATTGTTGACGTGTTATTCTAAACATGTTATTTGCGATAAATATCATCACATGCCTCGATAGTCGAAAGGATAAGATGCCTGCCCGGTAAGCAGGAGATCCAGATTCGATTCCTGGCTGAGGTGGTATTTTTTCGCAAAATAATTACGAGTTTTCACGACTGATTCGTGGTCGGGCCGCCGTGACGCACACCCTCCCTTCTTATTTGGTTATCTTAAATATACGTACATATATGATAATGTGTACTGCCCAATGCTTTAGAGAGAATATACGTAGATACCGCAAATTGTATTTCATTTAATAAAGACTTATCAATGTTGTCCAGCAAGGTTAAAAAAATGATAAGGATATGTATTGTTAAGCTAAAATACACACTACTGCAAAGTAAGTTTATGTTCTGTAAAAAAATTTATTACTATTTATTGACAATTGATATGCTAATTTATTCTAATTTCCAAACGTGGAATACATAATAGCATTTAAACGTGGAAAGGTATGCAGCTTGTCTCTATAATAAAGAAAATATATAAGTACGTCAAAGAAAAGCACAAGTATATTAGAATTTATTATTAATTTGTTGATTTAATACATAAATATTGTAGAAATTAAACCTTTTTTTATAAAATATTACGTTCAGAAAATCGCACAATCACACTTAGAAGTATTAAAAGACACAAACAACAAATAAATATTTTTTTGAAATGCCCTTGCCTAAAAATTGTGTAACTGTAAATGTGATTCACAAAAATACAAGTTACAATAATATTACTTAAATACAAAAAAACAGAAAATGCCATTACATTGTTATAATATCACTCGCAAAGATAAACAGATAAATTAAAATTTAAAATAAAATATTTGTTGCACAGACGTATTCGATATTAAAATATCTTCTAAATCGTGAAGTTTTGAAATATGGCAATACTTAAAGGACACCATATAAAAGAAATTATGATGTTGATAATTTAGCTTGATACTTATTAAAATTTAAGGAGTATATACAAAAGTTTTTACAATATTAAAATATTTAATTGCCCAGACTTATTGAACACTTCTTTTAAATTCTCTTTTAGGAAACCCCGAACATTTTAATTATACTTTCGCATTTCTTGTTTGCAATGGATACTTAATATATAAAACTGTTTGTTGTATTAAATGTACGATATTAAATGTACGATACGAATATATAATTAATATAAATTGCCAATATTTCTAGAGATAAATAATTTTTAATATAAAGAATTATATGTATTTATATTAATAAGTTATTCATATTTTGTAATATAAGATAAGTTATACTGAAAATTTATTCTGAAATTTCAGAATAAAAAACTATAAGGACGTACTATTTTAAGGACTTCATTTTTAAGGACATATATATTTTATGAATACGATTTTTGTTTTTATATGGTTTTTACATTTATTTCAAATAATTTCAATTTACATAATTGATACAATGCTTCGTAACATTACGTTATTTTATTTAAACTCCCAAGAAGAATCATTAGTATAATTTTTATACAGGCACAGGTCGTGTAATTGACAAAATCTACGGCGAGAGAGACCACAGACCCAAGCAGCTCTGTTTTTACCTGGATAAGATCTAACATTGCAAGTGCAATATGCTCAACAGATTGTCTTGGATAATCCTTGAGTAGGTCGTCAATGTTAGTACAATGCGACAAGATCACAGGTTTTGTTGAAGATTTTTTTCAGTTATTTCAGTCTCTGTATAACCCGGACACATGATCATAACTCGTACTCCAGTCTTATCGTACAAATCTGCTAAAGACTGATTAAATCCGAAGACTCCTGTTTCGTAGTCATGTGTACTGGTAGAAAAGAAAATAGATGCAATGCGGCTACAGATGCAACGTTCACGATTACACCGCCTTTATCGCCTTTATGCTTCCCCATGTAATCCATCGTCAAAAAAGAATTATATATATATATATATATATATAACTAAAGTTTCAACTAAAATTAAAATTATTTGTCAG